ACTTGCCGGAATCTGTTCTCGAGAAAAATATGGAAGAACTTTAGGTCAAAATATTTTGATCTGCTTTTGATCACATTATGATTTATTTAAATTGAGTGTGATAAAAATTTTATTTATATTACACGCTCTATCTTAAAAATTAAATTTTTGTCGAGAAAATAATTAGTCCCACACTTCATCGCTCTCACTCTTTTTCTCCTTTACTCGTCTCTAACACTCGAGACGTGTTTACAAAACATGAGAAAAATTTGCGTGTGTAAGACGCACACAGAGCTACGCACGTCGGAGGTTATTCAGAGAGTGTTGGGGGGGGGTTATAGGTAGATTACAGAGATGTTACAGAGGATGTAACCTACCTATAACTCTCCAATACCCTCTGAATAACCTCCGACGTGCGCAAATTTTTCTCACAAAACACAATCTGGGATCCAACACTATTCTTTTTAAAATTAAATTTTTACATATTTTTTCTATATTATATACCCATTTCACTTGGATCTTAGTACAAGGATATTCAACTTACATAAGGGACTCTAGAAATCATCTACTTAGCCAAGCCATTATTTCTAATTATCTTGATTATCAATCCAAAATTCTTCATCATTACATTCGGGAACACTTGAAAAATATTTACCCTTCCCACATCTATAGAATCTGTTTTTAAAATGGTAAAGCATATAGTAATAGCTGAAGGGAAATCCTAAGCTATTCAATGAATAAATTAACTTGTCATATCTTCAATCCCTTCTGCTTTTTCTTCATTAATAATGTTTGTATATTTTAGTTGAATAAGTATGTTCCTTACAATTACTTTGCATATGAACTTGTTTTTTTAGAATAACTTGAAATAAAAAATGCTAGTCTTGCACATAATAGATGTATTAGTTGAATTCTAAGAAGCTAAAATGCTAATAATACCAAGGGTAGATGTATAAGGACTATAACTCAAATAATTTTTTTTTTTGCCTTTATATTAATAAGGCATAATGAAACATGTTCTAGATTCTTAGAATCATGAAGTTTCAAGTCTATTCATCATGTTATTCCTATGAAAACATCATCACAGGAGTATGGTGTTTTCATCTTATTAAAAAAACTCCAAAAACATAGTTGTTTTCATTATTAGGAATTCGACACTAAATTGAAAACTTCAGACTAGAATTAGGGTTTAGTAACTTAGAACTTTAACTAATTAAAAGATTTTTCAAGTTTCCCATTGGATCGATTCACAAGCTCAAATCAGTATATTACTTAAGTGACACGTGCACTTCTTAGTTGACTAGTGTTTTACAGCATTTCAGGACAAAGAAGTGTATGATTCTTTGTGAAAGACAATCCTTGAAATTTTTATTTTTATTTTATTGTATTGTCCTCAGTGTGAGAAATTTACCTATTAACTGGAGTACTTGTCTTTGAGAGAAGAAAATTAGTTGTGTTGTAGTACTTAGCCTCGAAGAGAAGAGTTATTAGAAAAATGGTGTAAGAACTTTGTACTCTTCTGGAAAGAATACTAGTTGATTAGTGAGATTTATAAACTCTTAACCAATGTGGATGGTTAGAAATGAACGACGCCCTGGCGGCATAACCGCATAAATATTGTGTGCGTGCTTAGTATTTTTATTTTTAATTATTCTAAAAATTCAATAGAACATTTGTTTTTCTAGAAAATCAAAATTAATTTATTATATATGAAAAAAAAAAATGTTACACCCAATTCACCCTCATCTTGGGTGTCATAACCATCTCCATAGCTCTTCAATTATAAATGACATATGGCCGTTGTAATCATCAAATATAGTGGGTTTTTATAACTGGGTCAGACCCCGTGGTTTTTTCCCTTTACAGGTTTTCCACGTAAAAACCTCTAATGTTATCACTGATTGTTTTCACTTTCATCTAAGGGTGTGCTGGATCATCGTGCAGCAACTCTTTAACATGATCATTATAGTAAAATTCTTAAAAAAGAAAACAACGCGACGATAATTCATTACTCTACCACCGCGAATTTTCTCGCACGAAGCATAATTCTATCACAAACTAATCCTTATTGATATGCTACCAACAAATTTTCCTCATCCGACACGGATCTCGAGATAGTATTTTGAGCACGAATATTCAAATCTTGATAAAAGGCCATCCAGAGCTTCGATTTTAGCAGACTTATAGTCAAACTGACCGACTCGATAAGAAGGACCTAATGATATCAGAGTTAGTCTAATCCGAGTCAAATCAAGCCCAGATCAAGTGATTAAATCATTTTTGGAAGATTTCCGGACATATTTGAAAGATCAAACGAATGTCGAATTTAGCGAGTTTATACTCGAATCGAGCGTCTCGACAAGACGAATCCAACGAGCTCAAGATTGCTCAATTCCGACATCATTAAGGCACTCAAATGTCCATCAAACTCCATTCGATCGAGGAAAACTCTTTGGATCGTCCGATCAAAATGATTTATATTCCTGCATTAATTGCACCCAGAACACTATAAATAGAGCATCATCCCTCACATGATGGGAGGAGGCTTGAGAGAGAACTTGAGGCTTTGAGAAAGAGCTCAAGTCCAACATCATCTCGACCACCGCCTGCCACCGTTGACCACAGCCGACCACCGACCACCCTTGCAGATCACCGCTGACCCCTGTAGACCATCGACTGGCTGCGAGCC